GGGGTTAACTATGGTACATAGAAAATAGGTGGGTGGAGTATGTATATATATGGTTTAACAAAGAAATGCCTATATCATTTCCCTAACTAAACAAGACTACCATTTCGCTTTGCAGACACACGGGGCAAGTTCTAGGTGTTAAATGTCGTGCACAGAATATAACAAGCCTCACACACACATGGCACATAACTCATTCCAGATTAGATCATCAAACACTCAGATCAGGGTACTTAAGCCAAATTAAGAACATGCATTTTAAGGCCTTCTTACAAGAGTCAACAAATGAGCCTAAGCGTCACACTAAAGTAACCGCTATATTCAAGGCATTACAAAATTAAGGGATCCTATTTTAATTCTGCCCATAGCCCATAAGTTCCTAGCTAAAAATAAAAAGCTAACTATACCTGGTTCAAACAAAACTCTTGGAAAAAAATCGTGGTTTAAAGAAAAACCAAGGGGGAATTGATACACTACTACAAAAGAAAATCTTTTTGGTTTTTTTTTCTTTCGACTTTAGTTCCTCAAGAAACCCGTCGAATGATATCCATCGTCGGGACAAGTCGACATTGATTTATACAAATAAACTACGAAACTATCTACATACAACATACAACAAAGTATCCCCCACCCCATACTTAAAAAGATGGCATGTCCCGATGTCATACAAAGTAAAGTAATGCGAGGTAAAGGAACTTCCCTGGTGGATCAGTCTTGATCGGAGACAGTGCCAGGGTCTAGATGACATGCTCTCCCTAGTGCACGCAACCAACCCATTATTTTCTTTTCTGACTTCGCATTTTGGGTGGCCAAAGCATCAACTCTAGCCCCCAATTCCATGACGGAAGTGTGCAGTCCTGCCATGTCTCGTTCTAGGGCTGTCATTTGCGTGCTCCGTCTGCCCTGGGATGGTCCCTCAGTTACGGCAACTTGTTTCTGTGGGGTGAGGCAGGTTCAACCTCATCCTGCCCTTTATCGCCCTCTTCTGACTCATTAGAATTGTCACTATTAGTTGCCCCTGGTTCCACCGGGTCTTTCCCGATGGTCAGTTTGTCTGCCCGGAACTTTGCTTCTTTCTTTACCATGCCATCCGCATTTGGGTTCTCAGGCACCCTTGCTGCCCGGCACAATCTAGTGATCAAAGAGGGGAAAATGAACCCATACCTCTTCTGTGGTGAACGGACAAACATCTCAGACTGAATAACCTTGGCCACATCAAAGTCGTGGCCATTCACGAAGCACCAGATCAGGGCATCTTTCAAACCATTTACCTCTGTGGTGTTATGGGACGGCAACAAGAGACTGTTGATGATGTATAACCAGCATTTTCCTTCAAAAGTTAGTTAGGCAGAGTGTAGCTTTGATCCCGACACAACCCACACTACCTCTTTGTCTGGTTTACAGATAGTTCGGAAAAACCTGTTCCATGTGATGGGTTATCTCCTGTAAGTATCATAGAAATCCTCCTCCCTATTGAATTCAGGCAATCGATACACTCTCCTGATTGCTTCGATCGAGGCATCCACACTCGTTTATCGCACAGTGCATATTCTATCCTCATGTTCGGGGCAGTTGGCATAGAAATCCCGGACAAGCATCAAGTTACCCTCCTCCGACTCTTCGAAAAAGTTGTCCAACCTGCGCCTGATCAACTCCCGATACATATTAGGACACTCATCTTGGAGAGATGCTCTATTAATGTTCCTTTCCGGTATAGGCTTCTTAGTAGCCTTCAAACTGAACCGTTCCTGGGCAGCTCTGGAGACGAACTTGGTGCAATCAAACAAAGCTGCACTGGCTGGTGCCCGTCCCCGAGATGAGCCTCCATGACCACTTGATGAGGCTCAGGTAGCGCTCTTCCTTGAAGGTTGCATGTTACCTGGACACGCCCGTGCATCCGCGCCCCAATCCGCAGTCCAATCCATGGCCGCGGATTCTGGGTAGAGGGGGACCAAAAATTTGCACCCCAATCCGCGGCCGCAGACGGGGGACAGAACACAGACCAAAATTCGATGTCCAATCCGCGGCCGCGGATCTCCGTCTCCAGCAAATTTTTGTCTTTTCCGCATTTTTACCTATTCTCGGGTTAATTTCGACCCCCGAATCCTTCCGATGCGCATAATATTTGCCCTACACACTAGTAGATCGATCAAAGTTGTTCTAAATCAATTACAATAATCAAAGTAAGAAAAATAATGGGTTGCCTCCCAAAAAGCGCCTAAGTTAACGTCGCGACACGACGATTTACAAAAACCCATGGGTTGCCTCCCAGGAAGCGCCTGGTTTAATATCGCGGCATGACACAGGCTTTCATTATCACTCCTCGTTCGCGTACTGGGGATCTTCCAAAGTTATCACCACTCTATCCCTCTTCTCTTCGACCATTCCAAGGTAATGTTTCAACCTTTGCCCATTTACCGTGAACTTGTTGGTCCCATCTTTGGATTCAATCTCTACAGCTCCACTTGAGAACACTTGCACCACTCTGAAGGGTCCTGACCATCGGGACTTCAACTTACTCGGAAACAATCTCAAACTCGAGTTGTATAATAATACTAGATCTCTGGGCTTGAAGTTCCGATCTAAGATGTGCTTATCATAGATCATTTTCATCTTTTCTTTGTATAATCTAGCATTCTCAAATGCATGGAACCTGAATTCCTCGAGCTCATGTAACTCTGTTGGTGCATGCGGTCTCTATATCCAGATTCAACTGCCGCGGTGCCCAAAGTGCTTTATGTTCGAGCTATACTGGAAGGGGCATGCCTTTCCAAACACCAACTTGTACGGTGACATACCAATAGGAGTTTTGAATGTTGTGCGGTACGCCCATAATGCATCATCCAGCTTCTTCACCCAATCAGTCCTTGTTGCATTCACTATCTTTGTCAGGACACTTTTAATTTCCCTATTGGATACTTCAACTTGCCCGTTCGTCTGTGGGTGGTACAATGTGGCTACTTTGTGGCGAACTTCATATTTTTCCAACAGACGTGCGAATGCTCTATTGCAAAAATGGGTTCCACCATCACTGATTATAGCTCTCAGGGTGTCAAAATGTGTGAAGATGTTTTTCTTTAGGAAACTTGTTACCCCTTTTGCATCATTGGTTGGGAGAGCTACCGCTTTGACCCACTTGGAGACATAGTCAACCACTACCAATATATATTTCTTACCATATGAGCTGACAAACGGCCCCATAAAGTCAATTCCCCACATGTCAAAAACCTCCACCTCTTGAATTGTGGTCATCGGCATCTCGTGACGGCGAGATATGTTGCCTGTCCTTTGTAATTCATCGCAACTTTTGACCCAAGAATGGGCATCCTTGAAAAGGGTAGGCCAATACAATCCCGATTCTGACACTTTTGTTGTTGTCCGGATTCCTCCAAAGTATCCACCATATGGTGAAGCATGGCAAGCCTGCAAAACATAAGGTTGATCTTGCTCGGGGATACACCTCCGGATCATGTTATCTACACATATTTTAAACAATAGAGGTTCGTCCCAATAATAGGCTCGACAATCGCGGAAGAACTTTTTCTTTTGAATTGAGGAGAGTTCATAAGGTACAACACTGCTTACTAAATAGTTAGCAATATCAGCATACCATGGCGTCTCCTCCATTGTCACAGCAAGTAACTGTTTATCCGGGAATGTCTCTGTTATGTATTCAACCTCTATTCTCTTTTTAGCTCCTTCAAATCTTGAGAGTTGGTCCGCCACTTGATTGTCCGTCCCCTTTCTGTCACGGATTTCTAGATCGAATTCTTGTAGCAAAAGAACCCAGTGAATCAATCGTGGCTTTGACTCCTTCTTTGCTATCAAGTACCTAATTGTTGTATGGTTAGTATAAATCGGGTGCATCATCTTTTCTTTGTGTTGCCCCAAGACTGCTCCTATAGCATAATCACTGGCGTCGCACGTGAGCTCAAACGGTTGCTCCTAGTTGGGTGCAACTATGATAGGTGCAGTCACCAATCTCTTCTTCAGTTCCTCAAAAACCAACTTGCAATCATTAGAAAACACAAAGGGATGATCCTTTTCAAGCAGCTTACATAAGGGGTTAGCAATTTTGGAAAAATCTTTAATGAATCGCCTATAGAACCCGGCATGCCCAAGGAAACTTCTCACTGCCTTTATCGAAGTGGGCGGTGGAAGCTTCTTAATCACATCAACCTTGGCATGGTCGACTCCAATGCCCTTACTGGACACTGATGCCCCAACACTATTCCTTTTTGTACCATAAAATGGCACTTTTCCCAATTCAACACCAGGTTTGTCTCCACACATCTTTTGAGCACTCTTCTTAAGTTGTGAAGACAATCTTCAAATGAATCCCCCACCACGGAGAAATCATCCATAAATACCTCCATAATATCCTCCACCATGTTAGTGAAAATGGCTAACATACACCACTGGAATGTAGCCGGTGCATTACAAAGTCCAAAGGGCATTCTACGAAAGGCAAAGATGCCATATAGACAAGTGAAGGATGTTTTCTCTCTGTCTTCCGGGGCTATTGAGATCTGGTTATACCCCGAGTATCCATCCAAGGAACAGAAGTAGGACTGCCCGGCTAACCTGTCCAACATTTGGTCAATGAAAGGCAAGGGGAAATGGTCCTTTCGAGTGGCTGTGTTCAGTTTCCGATAGTCCATGCAAATCTGCCACCCCGTGACTGTACGAGTCGAGATCAACTCGTTATTCTCATTTTGTACGATCGTTATTAATCCCTTTTTTGGCACACATTGGACAGGACTGACCCGATTACTGTCAGAGATGGGGAAGATGATACTCGCATCCAGCCACTTGATCACTTCCTTCTTTACTACTTCTTTCATATTCGGGTTCAGCCGTCGTTGATGTTCCCTAGAAGGTTTGTGCCCCTCTTCCAAAAGAATCTTGTGCATGCAAAAGGCTAGGCTGATACCATTTATGTCTGCCATGGTCCAACTAATCGCAATCTTACATTCTTGCAATACCTACAATAGTTGCTCTACCTACACAGCTAGCAAACCAGATGATATAATAACAGGCAAAGTAGAATTAGGCCCCAAGAAAGCGTACCTGAGGTGGGCTGGAAGCGGTTTCAAGTCCAGCTGTGGTGGCTTTTCTATTGATGGTTTTGCAGGTGATGTTTCTCTCTCTTCTAAGCGTAGGGGCTCGAACTGAGGTTCCCTTTTCCAGAATCCTTGACCTTCGAGAGCCATGACCCACTCTTCCAACCCTTCACCCTCCATCTCTTCCAAATTCATCAAGCAAGCTTCTAGTGGATCCTTGACATTAAGGGTCCCATCCTCTTCTTGCAGTATCACATCCACGGCCTCCACTAGTGAGCAGTTTGCAAATTCACTAGGTCTCCTCATGGATTGTGGAACGTTGAATATTATTTCTTCATTGTTCAACCTCATTTTCAACTCTCCAGTCTCACAATCAATTAATTCTCTTCCAGTGGCTAAGAATGGCCTTCCTAGAATGATGGGTATCTCTTCATCTACCTGACAGTCAAGAATAACAAAGTCTGCAGGGAATACAAATTTTCCCACTTGCACAAGCACATTATCAAGAATTCCTATCGGTCTTTTGACTGTGCGATCAGCTAGTTGCAGCAACATTGAGGTCGGTCTAGCTCTGCCAATGCCCAGTTTTGTATAGATTGCTAAGGGCATCAAGTTTATGCTGGCTCCCAAGTCACACAATGCTTTAGCAAAAGCATAACTCCCAATAGTGCATGGGATAGTGAAGCTACCTGGATCAGACACCTTTTGGGCCATAGGTCTTGTCACTACCGCATTGCAGGTCTGTGTCAGCATTATAGTGGATAGGTCCTGGAAGTCAAATTTCGACGACATCAGGTCCTTCATCATTTTTGCATACCCTGGCATTTCCCTCAACGCATCCATCAGTGGAATGTTCAATTGAATCTGTCAAAGCATTTCCATGAATTTCCTGTATTGATCATCTTTCTTTTGTTTTGCCAATCTCTAAGGGAATGGTGCAGGAGTCAACCTCTGTCCACTACTTGATGTCTTTTCTTAGTTAGAAGCGTATGGCACAAGAGGTGCCACCTGTTCTGAGACGTGTTCACCTTCTTTCGCCTTACCCTTGTCAACCTGTGCCTATTCAACTACCACCTCGGTGAGCTCTGCTAACCCATCTGCCTCTAATGTAACTGGAGTAGTTGGCGTAGTTTGAGCAACTTCTTGCTCTCTGTCAAAATCTCTTCCATTCCTGAGACTCACTGCCATTAGCTGATTTGGGTTTTGCTCCTTTGGGTTAACATTTGGATCTGCAGGTAATGTTCCTTGGGGTCGATTATTAAAGTCCATAGACAGTTGTCCCAGTTGAGTTTCAATGCCTTTGATTGCCGAATCATGTGTTGCTAACTTGTTTTGCATCTTACCATTTGTTCCAATGAGTGGTTGCAGCATGCTCTCGATTTCTACCATGTTGCTGTCATGTTGTTGATTAGGTGGTTGGTAGGCCAACTGTTGTTGGTGCTGCTGATTATAGCCCTGCTGCCTTTGATAAGGCATAATTTAACCTTGTGGTCGTGCACCTCCAGAATTGGGGTTGTGTTGTGGCAGGTTGGGTCTGTACTGCTGGTTTGGTGTTGGTCCCCATTGTTGCCCACCTTGCCTCTGACCTCCAAAATTATTGACATAATTCATGTCTTCTTTGAAGCCCTGGTTGTCATTCTCTCCACTCCACGAGCACATATATGACTGGTTTATGCAAGGAGTGAACAATCCTCCATTTGTTGTATCAACAATGTGCACTTGCTTTGTACCCATCTCATCAATTTTCTTTGTCGGTATGCTCATCTGAGTCATGAGAGTGGCTATGTTCTCTGCATGGGAATTGTTTGGGTCAAGAGCAACAGAATGCACTATTGGTGTAAGTGTCGTACCTCTAGTCATCCAGCCTGAATTTTGAGCCATATTGTCAAGAAGAAGCTTGAACTTTGTGAATGTCTTGCTCAAAAATGCACCCCCAGCTGAAGCATCTATATTGGCCTTCAAATTGTCTGCTAAACCCATGTAGAATCTCTGTCCCAGCATCTGATCTGGAATGCCATGGTGTGGATACTTCACTAGCATACCCTTGAACCTCTCCCAGGTTTCTTGTAAGGTCTCAGTTGGTTTCTGCCTGAACTACAATATCTCATCAATCTACCTTGCAGTCTTGTTGGGAGGATAAAACTTGTTTAAGAACTGTTTGACTAATTCTTCCCAAGTGGCAATAGAGTTTATTGGGAGCAAATTCAGCCAAGTTTGAGCCTCTCCAGTCACAGAAAATGGAAACAGTAATAGCTTGATGGCTTCGGGAGTCACATTTGGCTGTCTTTGGGTCACACATATTGATAGGAAATTCTTCAGATGTTGTCGTGGGTCTTCAATGTATGACCCGGAGAACAGTCCCTTATTTTGCAATAGATGCAGCATGTTGTTGGTGATCTGGAATGTCTTCGCTTGTATCTGAGGTACAGCAATGGCGGTGGCCAGGTTATCAGCAGTTGGTTGTGCCCTATCATAAAGAGCAGCTTCTGGCACAAGAGGTGCCACCACTCCATTGTTTGGGACAACTCGATTATTCCGATTGTTTTCATTGACATCGTCCACGTTGTCCATTTCAATTTCGAATGTGTGTTTTTGTTGTAACTATTTGTTCTTTATTTAATGCCATGAATGCTTTTTCGGGGTCTAAGAGTCCTTCAAAAAGTTCACCAGTCCTCAAAGATCTTCTAGGCATACACCTAGTCACAGGAGAATTCAAACGTGAGAATTTCAATGGAAAAATTTAAACACCGTAAGAAATTGATCTAAACTAAGAATCCTAGCAATTCTTCTAAGTTGTAATAAATAACACTGTTAGTTCCCCGGCAACGGCGCCAAAATTTGATCACGCCCAACTATGCCTTGTAAAAAGGACTAAGCAGTCACTGCAAATATAAGCCAGTTCAAGTCCGGAGTCGAATCCCACAGGGAACTAACCTAATTACTACAACTTTAAATAATGCTAATGATAAGCTCAAACAACTTCCGGATGCAAGAGTTTTATGAATAATCAGTGGAATTTATTTAGCTAAGGAAAAATGACAATAAAATTAGCAATGATCAAGACTAAAATTGAATTCAAGGGTAAAAGGACCTAGGGCTATTGATTTCCCCAATTGCCAGATTAATTCTTAACTCTTAGCTATAATCTCGCTGTAATACTCTACGAGGATTATGAGTTTCGGGATATCGTAATTATCTCTCGATCAATTATGATAATTTACTAGAATCATTCTCTCGAACTACTCTAGTTAATAATTTATGCAACTGAGAATTATCCCACCAAAGTTTCGTTATCTCTAACCTCACTTTTAAATTCAAGTAATTAATCTCTTAACTTACCCAAAGTTGGTGGTGTTCAACAACAATCTAACCAAGTGTTCTTTCTCAAAAAATACAAGGTAACTAGACACGATTAATCAAGGGCCCTTTCAATTAACTACAATACAATACATAGTTGAACAATCATAGAACAAACATGACTCAATTATAACAAAATAGAGTCAAGACTTTATCCAACAATTGGTTCCATCAACCCTAGATAATAGATTTAGCTACTCATACTAATGGAGAACAAAACACTAAAATAATTCATAATCAACAAATAGAAGTATGAAGAAAAAGATGAAAACTCTTAGGAAATTATCCGTCTTCTCTCCCTTGTTCTTGCCTCTAAAATCTTCTAAAAATCAGTTATCTCCGACTTCTGGGCGAGTTTAGGCTTCATATAGGTTTAGGTTAGTCGCCTAGGAAATTACATAATTAACCCTACATGTTTGGCTTTCGTCCGCCCGTCCGCGGCCGCGGATTCGACCGCGGATCCGGCCGCGGATTTCCACTGCTTCACTTCCTTGAGTTCGCGGGCCAATTCGCGGCCGCACACCTGGAGGGGTCATCTTGCTTGCTTTTCTTGCTCCTTTTCGACCGGGCTATCCTTCGATTGGCCTTCCACATTCCATGTTGACTCCAAAACACTCGTTAGCTCCCTCCTAGCTCGGAGTAGCTCCTGCAAAGCATCAAATTCTTAATTAGAGCATTTTGTTATCTTTTAGCATTCAAATATCAATAAAGTACGGCTAAATTAGAGTGTAAATAGTGTCTAAATTGCATAAATATAGCCTACTATCATATACCTTCGAGAGTTTTCACGAATTCTTCATCAATGATGGACCATAATCCAACAGTATTAAAAATTCTTAGTCTATTGATACCAAGTTCTAAAATTAATTTTGCCATCAAACATAAAAACAAGAAAATCAGGTAAATATCAAATCATAAATAAATTAGAATTTTTACATTTGGTTTAATTCCTACAAAACCTATTAATCACGGCATGCTCATGTTTAAAGATCTTGATTTAGGGGAGGGAACACAATGTAGAATTGATATAAGCTCGAATGTTCAAACACCAGAACCAGCTAATAGATCGATTTTGCACTTACTGCGGAAAACCAAGCCACGATGTGCCATCATGCTATAGGCTTCAACGTGGAGGCAGTAACAACGTTGAACCTGAAAGCAGAGCAGATATAACAGGTTTGACTACATTCCGCCAACTCAGCTTACTCTCCCGACTTCGCCTACTATTGCCCTTACTCATGATCAGTCCAGCCAGCTTATTGGAGTGGTTAAGAGCGTGCAAGCCCATCCTAAAAGGAATGCTTAGTTCTTTCTCTTCTACAGTGACAAGTAAAAATAGTGATGTCCAAAAGAAATTGTGTATTGAATGAGTCTATAACGATTTCAATAATTATACAAATAAAATTCTGAAATACAGTATAGAGCAACTCTATAGTCAGATTGTTTTCCCCACATAATACATAATTACTATAAGCTTGAATGTTCAGGTACCAGAACCGGTTCTGATACCAATATGATAAAAAAATATTTTAATATAAATCTTTGAATGCTCACACTTGTCCTCATAAATTTTTACACATAAAATTAGCTAGCAATGCCATCTATATATAAAAAGAATAGTTATTCATACGATTAAACCAAGTGTCAGGATACTATAAAATCACTTGATAAATTTTATAATTATACATGAAATATTTTAAAAATAATATACTAAAGTATTATTTATAAATTTAGTCAAATTGAAGAATGTGAATAATAGAAGCCTTCTCTTTTTAGACTTTTGAACAAAATAATAAAAGGCTTCTCTTTGTATACTTTTAATGAATTTAAAATTATAATTTAATTAAAAAATAAGGGTATCTTAATTCTAAGTAAAATAGTAAATGGAAAAACTAATCAAATATATCAATAGAAAAAAAAGAGGAAATAAATATAATGTTAGGATATTAATAATTTGAATTAATTAAAATTTTAATACTATTTCGATGATTTCTATTTCAAGTGTCATCACTATAACATGTCAAGTTTAATGTTTTAGGAAAAAAACTCAAAGAAAAATTTCAAAATTATTTTAAAATAGAAGATAAAAAATTAAACTTGCCAATTTTAAAAAATTAATACTTCCTCCAATGTCTAAGAAAAATTAAAACTTTCTCAACGTTTGTTTGGTATTTATATATTTATTTGTTAAACCTTCAATGCAAAAAGTAATTATCATATTTTCTCCCATATTGTTTTTTGCTGCGGTTTGTAATTTATTATATATACTTAGTATTGTTTTCACACAAAAACACGAAAAAAGAAAGAAAAAATAAATAAATCACCCAAAATTTCAATCCCATGACCGATGTCTTTCCAAACGCAGGTTTATAACAACTATTCTAACCTACCTCCATAATTCATTCTTATCCACGTTCTCCTATGCAAATAATTATTCATGCGATTTTTTCTTTCTAGTATCTATATTTAGCCAAGTGGTAGCCTAATAATAAGTCACTTGGCATTGCTCAAGACAATTGGCAATATTAGGATAAAATAAATAATATAATAGAATTAGTTAGTTTAGAACTAGTATGATTAATATTGCTAATATGGATGTGAAATGCGGTATTTCTAATTACATTAGACGTGATTTTTTTAAATAATTTTTGTTGCTAAGTTATGTGGAAGTTGGATGTAATTTTATAACTATCAACAAGAAAATTTGCAAAATTATTCAAGCGGCAAAATTCACAAATTAATTTAATATTTAAATTTCAAAAGATAAGTAATTAATCTTATCCATATAAAACACCTAACCCCAAAACCCACATTTTTTTAAACAAAAACAAAACTAATGTCACCAACATCTTCTTAATTAAAAACTTATTATTCTCAGAATTTCTATCTGATCCAAACTATGCGAGCAAATTCAGCATTCTCTTAAACAGTAATAATCAGCACGAACAATATATAAATACAATTGTGCACCATAGTTATAACGACCCGATCGGTTGTTTTGAGAATTAGCGTCTCGTTCGGCGGCTTAAGGTCTCGAGCAGCTTCGTATTATGTATTATTACTAGTGTGTGTGGTCGAGTTCGTATTTCGAATTATTCGGGATCAATTTGGAAGAAGGA